AATTCAACAATTTTGAGGATGGCTGATAATCGGATTGCAGAGTGGCTCAAACACCAGCTTGCGGCATGACATCGTGCACCAGTTCGACGCGTTGCCGATTCTCCGCCACCCGCGGTCCATCCAGAAGTCCCTCAGTTTCAGCCCACTGCACGGGGAGGAGGGGGAGCTGCTGGCACGACCACTGACTTGAAACCACTATCGCGATTCAAGTCGAGACACACCAGCTCCTGGGTTTTGCCCTCATCCGTCAAGAAGGCGAGGTACAGGGCGCGCTGAGCCTACAAGAAGGGGACTCGTAGCTGATGGCATGAGCATGTGCAAGACTGCAAATCATTGGCCAATTACTGGAAGCAACACAGGCCTGCTGGTCCACCTCATTGACCAGCTGCCTCCAGCTCCGAGGCAGGTGGTCAGCAATGACCACTTTGGACGACATTGCGGGCAGAGACACTGACGATGACAATGACCAATGACAATGACAATGACAACGACAATGACAATGACAATGACAATGACACGGCGGCTTTCGAGCCGAAATTAGCAGTATCATTCATCATGGGCAGCCTGTCGCAATACGATGGACTTGCCATGGAAACAAAGCCCCACAGGCAGGTATGTCAGCCAATCGCGCCTGCTCCGGCTGGAGGAACGTCGCAAACCACACAAGTGCCTTGATCACTGCTCGCAATCTCACAACATGCCAGGACATGCATAGGATCATAAATGCCCTTTACAAACCGCAGTTTGGCACACAATGACAGCCAATGACAATGACGCCCTGACTGGGTTTCTGGCAAGTCCGTGCATTCGGCAACCTGGCAAGCAACAGGCTGCAAGACCATTCACAGGCAATGACAAATGGCAATTTGACAAGGCGGCATCCGTCATTGTCATATGTCAATGTCTAGAAGGCACCGGCGGCCATCATTTTTCTGCACACTCGCACGACGGAAGAAGGCGTTCTTTCATGTTCAAGATCGAGCCTCTTCTTGAATTGCTGCTCTCAGCCAGCCGTTGATGTTGCGCGGCGCATGGGGCCGGCCTTCGAACTCGACAAGCTTCATCCTCGGGGACGGTGCATTGTTGAAATCGAGTTCAAGGAAATGACAATTTCCCTGCGCTCATGACATTGCTGCGTGAAAGCTGAAAAGCTGAAGCCAAGCGGCAAAAGCCGAAGGGCTCGCGCTCTCGGGATGCCGGCCAGCTCGCTCCTCAATGTGGGCTGGATCCAGCTGTCATCCAGGATGCTTTGCCTGGCCGGTTCAACACAACAACTGTTGAGTCGCAAGACTTAGACTGCGGTCATTGTCACATTGTCATGTCAATGTCGACAACTAAGTTTAACAACCACGAATAGCTGCCAATTGCTGCAGGGTGGCACAACCTCATCCTCCAGCAGGTTATGCTGCTGGGTTGGCGGATGTGGCCCCGGCTGGTCATCTTTCTCAATGACGCTCACCTCCTCCCACTGCTCATCCTTGACACTGACATTGACGGCCGGCTCCTGCTCATCCTTGACACTGACATTGACGGCCGGCTCCTGCTCATCCTTGACACTGACATCCGCCGGGTCTTGATCATCCGTGACACTGACGCTGCCACTGGCACCCGGCGTCTCCGCCTCCTCCACCGGCTTTGGCCCCTTGGCCGGCCTTGAACCTGCCGCCATGTTCTTATCATGGAGGGACTGGTTCCGAATGCGGAGATGGATCCTGGCAGGAAGTTTGCAAAGTACACGCAAACATCACAGCTGACAGTGACAAGTGCCAGACTCACTCCCGTGACACTACTGCCTCAATACTTTGACAGGACATCCTCAACGCTCGACGATGGGTGCTGTTTGGCAGATGATACCAAATGACAATAATCAAGCCCATCCAATACTCTACATTGACAGGAGCAGGAGCCTGACACCGAAGAAACTGACCAAGTTACTCAACAGTTACTCGAAGGTGGTGATGATGTTTGACTATTGAAATTCGACAAGGACAATCAACATGATATTCGTTTCGCAAAAATACAAACATTTGTCGCGGGCGAGGCGCTGGCCGTTCAACTCCTCCCACACCCTCACCACCTGGAGCTGGGCGTCTTGCCAGGGCCAGGTTACTTGGCGGCCGTTGCCAAAGAAGGATCCCGTGCAGGCAGCAGCCCAATCCTGCCAACGAATCCTAAGATGGCGGATGGCTTGACACTGACACTCAATTCAACAGATCATTAAATTATTACACTTGGCCGGTTGTGGGCAAGAAGCGCGGATTCGAAGGTCTTGTTCTTATCCCGAGCAAACTGCATTGCCACACGGAAGTCGTACTCAAGGTCCTCCGACAGGCTGGGCAGGAGGCAGACGCTGCCGACGCCACATGCCTCAGCGGACACTGTTGAGCCGACAAATGACAGACATGAAAATAAGCAATCAACCACTTAATCAAATAATATTTGTTTCGAGCAACGACAATGAGCAATGACAGTGAGACATTGACAAGGTACAGTGAGCAATGCGCTCAGCAACATGCAGAAGGCCGGTGTCCTGTGCCAGCCAGCATGGCAGTTGATCAGCACCACCTCCGCTGGCGCCTCCAAGATCCTCTTCAGCGCCCTCTTCGCCCCGGGGTGGCTGAACACCTCGTAGTGATGAAACTGGCTGACACTGACTAACTGGCACTGACACTGACTAACTGACACTGACACTGACTAAACTGACAGTGACACTGACTAACTGACACTGACACTGAGACTGACTGACTACATGTAAACATTTATTCAAAACAAGTTTCACGGCAGACCGGAAAATAGTTTCCAATGCTAGCAAGCCGCAGACCTCTGAGTGGCCTCAAAGATGCCAGGGTTCTTGCAGCGCTGCCCCAGCTCACCTCTCTGCGACTCCGGGAGAAGTTCCAGCAGGTCGTGATAGACCACGCTTTGCCCCAGCATCGACAGGTCGCCGGGAACTTGCAGCACTCGTCCGTCGAAGGGCACCGACTCAGCCCAGGAAACAACTGTGACAATGACAAACTAAATGACACTGTAAATTTGACTGACAATGGCAATTTTTATGCAAATATTATGAAAAATGAGAATTGGAAAAGCACTGACTAAATACACACAAAACACTGACAGACAAGTGTGTTGTCAAGGCGCAACTCGCTGCTTCTTCTTCTTCCCCCAGCCCATGATGATCACGAAGTCCGGCCATACGACCACATCCTGCGCGGGGCAGTGACAGGCGGCAAGACAGCTGACACTGACGGATGGCATTGCGCGCAAACAATTTAATTTGACATTGATATCAAAAGTTTTCATGACAACAAGCGGCCTGCCTGCATCCTGCCGACAATGACAATGACACTGACAAATGACACGCTTGGCTGGACACAGCTGCGGTGGCCACCATGATTCCCACAACCAGCCCGCAACAAGCACGACACTGTCATCATTGACTGCGCAACTGCGGCAACAGCACACATACAAACTGGGCCAGGGTGACCTGAGCCATGGCCGTGGCCATGTTGGGCAAGTTCAGAAAGAAGACTGGCAAAGCCTGACACAAACAAAGTTCTGCAACATTGTGTCGAACACGACACTGACAAATGATAAATGACAGTGCAGTCGCTTCAAGTGGCAGGTGTCCTTGCCAATTCATGGGCGAGACCTGGGCCTGGACCGATCTCGACGATGGGCGCGAGCAGCCTGCCAGCGAATTTGGCATCACAAAACAACAAATCAGACACAATACCCAAACAAACACATCACTGCCACGCAGCCAACACAACATAACCAGTTCCAAGGGCAGCTTCAACAGCAAGACCACGCGCGGCGGCATCTCGGACACTACCGACAGCAGGCGCCAGCATCAACAACAGAAATAGCAGGAGCAAAAACCAGCATGAGCAGCATTGGCAATGGCAGAAGCAGCAAACAGCTGCTGCTGCGGCTGCTAATGATGTCGAAGCTGCAGCTTGTTTGCTGTTGCTGCTGAAGATGGTGCTGGTGATCGTGATGCATGATGAGATGATGAGTATGCTGATGATGGTGATGGTGATGATGATGGTGATGGCGATGATGATGATGATTATGATGATGATGGCTGATGATGATGATGATGATGATTGATGATGATGATGGATGATGATGATGATGATGACGATCGTAATGATGATGATGATGATGATGATGATGATGATGATGAGGATGAGGACGATGATGATGATGATGATGTGGTGACGATGATGATGATGATGATGATGATGATGATGATGATCAATGATGACCTTGTGAAAATACCAATCATTGTGGCATCCTCTGAATCTGAATCATCAATGGGCCACACTTGAAATGGATGATGATGATGATAAGTATCATCAGGAAATGCATTTTGGACACAGTGGAAGAACAGGGCTGTGGCGCAATGGCAGCGTGCCTGCGGCGGCTGCGTGCTTCCGGGGAGGTCGCGGGTTCGAGTCCCGTCAGCCCTATGTCATATGTCGGGAAGAGGACGGAAGATTACAGGAAGAGGACGGAAGACTACTGGAAGAGGACGGAAGAGGACGGAAGACTAGAAGACTACTAGGGCAAGAGGACGGAAGATTACGGGAAGAGGACCGAAGACTACGGAAAAAGGAAGGGAGGAAGGAAGGAAGCTGGTGCTGGTGCTGGTGCTGGTGCTGGTGCTAGGTGCTGGTGCTGGCGGCGGTGGCGGTGGTGGTGGTGGTGGTAGTGGTAGTCTAGCACAAGGACAATGGTGGGATGATGATTGCAGTGGTCATGACGATGCGACAGCAACAAAACGGCAGCGGCGCCTCCACCTCAGCATCCTGGTGGCCGACACGACTCCTGGGCAGCGACGACCCCGTGACATTTGAAAGTTCGAGGGTGCATGGCAACCTCACTCAGGCCCACACCGAGCAATCGTGGAATGGAAGTCCTGGCAGGGAGAGAGTCTGAGTTGGAGCACCTGTTTCTTTCTACCCGACGAAAACCCCCTCCTGCCACTCAGGCTAATGCTGGGCATAGCGCGGCTTCTGGAGCATCACAAACCATGGCAGCGGGCCATCAACAAAACCCTGGCTTTCAGTCACATCCTGTGGCAACACCATCTTAAGCCAGGACCTGGACCTGCTGCACGAGTGGCAAATGACCATCAGGAGTACTGCAGGTCAAGGACAGTGACAACAATGACATTGGCAAAGCTGCGGACAATGACACGGAGAATGGGGCAGTGACAACGATGACATTGGCCAAGCTGCGGACAATGACAGAGAGTAAAGCATTTTTTAGTTTGCTCCACCCATACCAAAGCATATTTTGCATGTCCTTAAGGAGCGCCCAGCAAAAGACAGACCCATTTTGTTTTGAAACGGGGGAGGATTTCAATTAGCGACTTTCAGGTACCAACCCAAGCAGTTCCCATGAGATGTGTTCCAACAAATGCTTGAAATTGTGAGGAGAGCTCACCGATCCGTCCCAGGATGAGGGTCCAGGATGAAGGTCCAGGATGAAGGTCCTGGGGAAATATTGTTGTGCAATCTGCAAATATCATTGCCAGATTTCACGAACCTGTTGTGTTGCCCTCTTGGCGTTCCTCCATTCTCCCTTTCCAGCAAGAAGCTATATATTTTTGCAGGCAGTCCAAGCTTGGTCAATGAGCAAATACCAAATCATTGCTAGTCTACTGTTGCTTTCGGGATATGGCGTCAACCCAAGTTTCCTAACGCCAGGGGGACACGGCGAAGTGGGTCCATGGATTGAATTGTCTCGCCCGACAGGCGCTGCAGCAGTGCAGAGAGGAGGGCTTGGCAGCGGCTGCCGCCCAAAAAAAAAGCTGCCTGGACCCTCAAGCTACCCTATACTAGGTCCCCCTGTAGTGCCCTTTTACCCTTTTTTGGGGGAGGGTTCCGCTACTAAACTACAGAAAAAAGGGTGGGGTGTTTCCCTTGTTGCAAGGGTAGCTTGAGGGTCCAGGTAGATGCTTTGCGCGCCTAAGGTACGGTGGAGGCCCGAAATATCGCGGGGAAGCGAATAAGGCGCCCCTCTGATTTGCTCTGTTTTGCCGGGGCGGTTGGATTTGGAGCTTTGCGTGGCCAAGAGGGTGGGGGGAGCAGGAAGTGGTGCGCAGGAACCGCATTCAACCACGTCCAGGTCCCCCAGCAGTGCCCTTTTTTGGGAGGGTTGCCCTACTAAAATAGAGAACAGAACAAAAGTTGGTACCCTTATGCCAACCTCTCTACTGGAGGACCTAGGCATTCAACCACAAGGTACGTTGCTGCGCAGTTGAGGGCTCGCTGGTTTCACCACGTGTTTGCTGCATGTTTCGTCCATTCGGTACCCCACCCGAACCCGAACCCGAACCCAACCCCCCCCCCCCCGGCAAAAAGAAAAGGCTGTGGGTCAAAACCAATGGTACCATTTGGGGTGGGAGCACCACCCATTTTAGGTTTCCTATTTTAGCGTTTTAGTGGTTGCATCGAATCGGGTCCCGTTCACTGGGGGTACGGAATTTTGGCTGACCCATGGCCAAAAGCCCGGGGCAGACTCTGGCTTCGTCCGGGTCGACCGATGTCACCTGAGGCCAAGGCGGATGCCCCCGCCCCGGCCGGGAGCCAAAGCGCCGCATTTTTGTTTTGCGCCCTTTGGGCGAAATCAACTTTTGGAGCTGTTCGGACTTGCGCCACTCTGGTGGGTTTGGACGGACCATGTTTGGGTAAGTAGAAAGTTCGACGACTTTTTGGCCGGAACCTCCAGTCAGGAAGTGAGTGATTTGTTGGATAGGTCCTGCGAGAACCCATGGTCTTTTTGGGCCCCAAAGGGGGGGGGGGGCAGATTTCCCATAAAGCCACAACTGACGCACTGACGTATGCATTCAGCCTTTGACCCGCAAACGCCGAAGAGGAACCTCGGATTTGTGCAGAGCTGGTTTAGGGTTGGTGTAGGTTTGGTTTAGGGTTGGTTTAGGGTGCTGTAGGTTTGGAATGGTCTAGGGCTGCAGGGCTGGCTAGGGTTGATGCGAGGATTTTGGGGCTCAGGGGCGCTTCAGGATGGTGGATTCAAGGATTGAGGGCTTAGGGGTGAGGGATCCCTAGGGCTGGCTCGGGATCTGGAGGACACCTGCGAACCCCCCGGCCGCATTCAGTTGCTGCCACCCTTTTGCTTGACCCAAGTTGCGGAGGGTTGCGAAATCCGCTTCTCGCGCCGAATGAAGCCGTGGTTGAAGCCAGTGTTGGTTGGTAGTTACACCGGGGAATCATCATTTCAGGGTTTCTTAGGTGGTGCAGGATTTCGTCCATCCATAGTAGGTTTGGGTCGACTTGTTCAACACCGGGTTTACGACTTACTGAGTCTTTTCTTTGTTCGGTTGTTTAACACATATCCACTGCCGCGACGATTGGCAAGAGGGTGTTTGACAGCAGTTATAGGAAGCTCATCGAGTCGGGGGTGAAACGAGCTCGAGCAGCTTGGATATGCTTCTGTCCAATTTGTGAATTACAGTCACAGTACTAATTCCCATAGATGATTGGCAAGGGGGTATTTGAGTGTGTCCTTCACACTGACTTCACAAGCCCTTTTCGGGAACTCCCCAAACATAGCCCAAGCAAACCTCCGGGACCAAACTGACATGAGCCACAATCAAAACCCGGATAGATTCAGGTTGGTAAGGGGCAGTCCCAGCCAGAAATAGTTGCGGCCGCCTTCTTAATTCTTTACATGGTTATGGGTAGACCATTTTAATACCGGGTTTTGATCGTGATTCACATGGTGTTGAGGGCCCGGTAGCAGTTCTGCATTGACTGAGCCTCGAGGCTGACCCGAAGAAGGTGGAAGAGCCGGCTGCCACGCCCAAGACCGACGCCACCGACGGGGGGCCCAACAGTTGGAGTTGGGCTCGGTGAGCTCACTCCCTCAGCCAACAGAGGATCTTGAAAAGTAGATGCCTCTTAGACCAGAATTATGAAGCGCGGTCAGAATGTACGGAAAACCAAAGTAGTCAACACGGGGAATATAGCTCTCTGAGCTCGAACGTACTCGGAATTTTACAATGCGATATGGGTTCCATGTTAATCTGCAGTTTGGTCTCGGGGCGTTTGACTCTGGTACATGTCATCCGTTTGCACGAATTACTCAACTCGGTTGCCGGTGATGAACGCCGCTTGGGAAGATTACAGTTGGTGTTCCCCTGGTGTTACCCAAGTTTACCCTCCAAGTAGGTCATATGTTGGTAGAAATATTCTGCATCGATTGTGTGGGAATCATGGAAGTGAACGTTCCTATCGGGGCTTCCCCAAAAGGTAGTCTTCTAGCCAGGTCCAGGTCAACTTTTGGGAGTCAGAGGCCGGGTCAATGGCTTTTCCTGGCGTTCAATCAGAGCCCCTGAAATTCTATGACCCTTGAGTTGTTGGGAGGTCTCTCCAAGAACAACTGACCCTTCCAAGAGTACCTTCACCCACGTTACGATGGCACCTCACAAGGGGCCCGGCCCCAAGATCTTCCAGGTACCCTAAGCTCACAGGTGCTATGTGCGCTATGTGAGTGCTTGATCAGGGTCCTTACAGTTCAATGACCCTTGGGTTGTTGGGGGTGGGGGGTGTCCCGCCAAGAATCAAAAACTGACCCTCCCACTGGTTCCGTGTTAGAGGAAGCTTGCCTGGTAGAGCCTGGTGTTTTTCGTTGCGGAACAAACTGACCCTTCCACTAACTTACCTGGTAGAGCACGTGCCAAGCCGAGGCGGAGCCAGCTGCCGAGCCGCCGGTGCAGGCGGGGCTTGGAATTCGAATGAGATCTGTACCCTTGTTGTGAGATGCGTCAACATATTCACCTTGGACCCTCAAACTGTCCTGAAAAGCTGAGTTCTTGCTGAAAATCATGGTGTTTTCCATGTTCCAGGGGAGGGGAGATGCTGGGGCCTACCTCGCCCCTGACCCCATGACTACCCCATGATTCCCGCCTTGCGCAGGCCAGCGGTGCCAAGGCCGACGCGGAGGCTGGAGAGACCCGCGGGTCCCGCGGGTAGTTTTTTGTTTGTTTGTTTTGCGATGCGACTCGCATAGTAGGCATGGGTGTCGGACCCAGATGCTTGAAGGCCATCGACCACCTGAGTTGTTGATGGTTGGTTGGGTATTGTCCCTCACGCTTGGGCATTGGGTCTAATGGGAACCCTGGATGAGTTACAACCCCTGGTTGATTTTGATTGGGGAGTGTCCACAGATTCAGCACCATAGGTGTCCTTTTTGGTTGTTTTGGTAGAAAAATAGAGGGCGATTCCTGGTTTACCTGGTGGTTTCATCAATAATGTACCAGGGAAACCCATCTATTTCCCCTAAACGGACACCTATGATAGTAGGTCCTGGTCCAGTGCCTCCAAATCGTTTCGACACGTTTCTTCCTGAGTTCCTGGACTTTGAACTTTTTGGGAAGACCATTTTGGGCTAAAGCGTTAACCGTAGGTGGTCGCTTGTCTTGACTCTTAATAAGTATCCACTTGGGCCACCATTTTGGCTCAAGTGGACCTTTTGATCTTTTGTCTTGTGATTTGAAATCTCTCTTTCCCCTACTCTCAAAGCCATGTACGCCCCCGCCTACGCTGGTGCCGCGGTAGCAGAGGCCAAGGCTAAGGCAAAGGCCTCCATGGCAAAGTACCTGGCGAGCCTCGTGAAGAGGGAGGAAGAAGGATGGACCGTTTTGGCTGCTGAGGTCCCTCAGGCACCTGACGAGCGTTTCTTCTCCAGCGCAGATGAGCTGGAGCAGGCCCCCCTTATCCCGGCCAAGCGCAAGGCAGAGGATGAGCCGATGGAAGATGCAGCCCCTGGGGTGGCGCAGGTGCCGAAGGCCCTGACACGCCCCCCAGGGGCGTTCCTGGAGCTCCTGAACCCGCCGGAGGAGGACGTGCCCATGGAGGAGCTCCTGGCGAAGGACGAGAAGGAGCTGCCGATGCCCAGGTTCCCCTCGGCTGCAGCCCGCTTGGAGGAGGCCCGCCTGGATGCCCGGGCAGACGCCAAGTGGCAGAGGCGCCGGGAGCTGATGGCGAAGGTCAAGGAGCAGGCGTCCTCGGAGGAGGATGAGAACCCCGCAGCCCCCCCGCCGGGGGGGAGCGTGTTCACCAAGGCCCTCAAGGTCTCGGAGGGCCTCTACCAGTTCAGCGACGACCAGATGGCGGGCGACTTCCCTTGCTTCGATGCGACCACGGCCACTAGGCTCCGCCGACTGCAGGCCAAGGACGTCCAGCGGCTCCTGCGAGGCTTTGAGGGCCCCCAACTCAAGCAGGGGGGCCTGGAGCGCGTTGTGGAGGCCTTCTACATCGCCAAGATGAAGTACGAGCATGAGGCCCGGCTCAGCACCCCGGGACAGCAGGTTGGCAAGCGCGCTGGCTTGGGGTACGGGGGCCTGGAGAACCGCCCCCTGGGCAAGGTGCCCACATCCTGGATCTGCCCCTGCTGCACCATGCCCTGGGTGAAGAAGGGCGCCACGAAGTGCATGGGGTGCGGCAAGAAGACGGAGCCCATTGACACGGCGACCAACTCGGCCACCCTGGAGATGGCGGGCACGCATTGGCAGTTGACGGTGGATGACCAGGGCAATGCGGTCTGGACGGCGGCCCGGTCCGCGGGTGCCGAAGGCCCTGACACGGACCGGGCCCGCGACCTCAAGCTCAGTGCCTCGGTGGACGTCAGCGAGCTGGCCACCGACCCGATGGCCTGCGAGAACCCGGACCAGGCCAGCTTCTCGGACTTCGTCCCCTCCTCGGTCCGGGCGGTGATCAGGAACTGCCCCATGGAGCTGGACGAGGAGTTTCTGACGGCCCCACCGGGGGAGAGGCCCCCATTGCCAGGCGACAAGGAAGAGGGCCAGGAATGCAGAGCCTTCCACCCGTCTGCGGTGAAGGCCTTCAAGATTCAGACCCGGCTCAACGCCACCACCATCGCCCAGGAGGAGGCCAAGAAGGCGGACCAGGTGGAAGCGGTGGAGCGCTCCGCGGCGGTCCTCCACGAACTTCAAGGGGGGGCCATTGACGGAGGAGGTGATGGAGGCCTGCTCCTGAAGAACCTGGACTTGGACCTCTTCCGTGAGAAGCTGCTGGACAAGCTGGGTGCGGACTGGGGGAGACCCACACCGGAGCTCCTCCAGGCCCAGACCACTGCGGAGGAGGCGAAAGCGAAACACCAAGCCAGACAGGCGAAGGCTCCCTCGAAACCAGAATGCTCGAGCCCATCGCGCCTCCCTTCAGTGCGTGGCCTAGTGAGGTCCGGGTCGCCATTGAGACTGGGGTCTTCGAGCCGACAACGGCATGGAGGGACTTCAGTATGGACGACCTCACATCCCTCACGGACTCCTACCTTGAGGCCAAGGCGGTCATCTCGCTGGGTAGGAATCCCTTCCCGGCGGCCCTCCTGTCAGATCTGCCGGACCTGACAGGGATCCCCATGCCAAAGGCGGGGGGCTCTGGTGCGGCGCGCCCAGGTGCCGAGGGCCCTGACAGGCCGCCCACCATCCCCCCAGCCTCGGGCTCTGGCGTGACGAGCTCAGGTGCCGAGGGCCCTGACAAGCCGTCCGCCACCCCGGTGGGCCTGGACACCAAGGACCCGGAGGTGCAGCTCTCGGTCCTGCGCTGGATGATGAGCAAACGGGTCGGAGAGGTCCGTATCTTTGCGGGCCGCTGGGTCCGACGACCGGGCCCGGTACACGTCCCGGATTGGGCGAAAAACCTCACCAAGGTGAATCCGGAGGCGTTGGAGAAGGGTACGCATCCCAGGAACCACCAGGTGGGTGGACTCCCCTGGGCCAGGTACTCCGTTGATGAGTTGAACCAGCAGGCGAAGGCGGGGGACCGACCCTACCCTGGGGACCTGCGATCCATCTTTTGGGCTGCCCCCCACGATCCGGATGAGGACTTCCACTGGACGCGCCAGATCTCGTCCTGGACACTCCCAGGCCTACTGGGGATGTTCGGGCACAGCTACACCCTGCGCCAGCTCTGGGGAGTCTGGGAGTCTCTGCCACTGCTGCAGGGCCCTAGGCAGCGGGGCCCGAAAAACAAGGCCCAGAATCAGACCCGCCTGGAGGGCTGGGAGACCCTGAAGGAGGACGCGCGGTGCTTCCTGAAGGAGGAGGGCCTTCCGTTTCCGCAGACAGGACCGGAGTGGCGATTGGTCTACCGGGCCATGGGCAAGGTCCTCGCGGCCCGGGCCTTCCTCACGGACACCCCGGCGGAGGTGATGCAGCTCCCGGTCCAGGACGTGGCGGACTCCAAGGAGCAGATGATCCTGCGGGCGGTATGCGACGAGCGCATCTCGGTCCCGGTGGAGAGCCTCCAGCAGTTCCCAGAGGTGTACAAGGCCCTCATGGACCGCATTGGAGGCCCGGGGGCCCTGGCGGAGGTGAAGGTCAACTGGCGCTGCAACACGAAGCAGTGGTGGGTCGGCGCAGTCCCCGACTCAGTGGCCCCCTCCATCTACCGCAAGCTCGGCTACACCAACGACATGATCAAGCTGATGGGCCTGGACCCCTCCGCCCCTGGGTGCCGGACAGGTGCCGATGGCCCCAGGGGAGGCGAGGGCGATGAGGGGATCGTTTACCCCCCCATCACGGCGGACAACGTCCACGGCGTGGTGGGTAAGGACTACCGGAAGAAGAACTATCCGGTGGAGATGAAGCATGTCTTCTGGGCGCACATGGAGTGTGGCCTGGTCCTGAGCTCCGTCACCCCGTGGGAACTCATCCCGAAGACAAAAGGGGAGACCCGGGGGGGCTACATGTGCAAGTATTGTAAGGGGTACTGGCGTGCCGGGGGAGGGGGCACCCGCCTCCTCCAGATCCGGGCCGGCAAGGCCATCTTGCAGCTGGTGTTGGACGAGCCGCCGGAGGGCCTCTACAACCGCTGGGTGAAGGAGCGGCTGGAGTACTACCGCCGGGTGGAGCCCTCGGCCCCGTTGCGGGACGTCTCCATCGTGGACCAGAAGGTGCCCAGGTTCAGATTCAGCCAGACCACCCAGACAGGCCACGTCTCCAATGCCATCTGGGAGCTGATTCTGCGGAATCCGGAGGCTGCTGCGCTCAAGCGCATCGATGACATCGCGAAGGGGGCCGCGTGATGATGCGGGACAACGCCATCTTCCGGCACACCATCCAGGACCGCGGCCATCCGGAACGGATGCGCAGCGCACCCCGGGGGGGGGACAGCTGCGCTGAAGGGAACAGCGCAGGCCCAGACTTGCACCAGGCGAGGAAAATTGGCGCGGCTTGGGCTGATCCGGGGTGCGCCTTGGTTCCCCTCTCTTGTTTGGTTTTCCCTTTTCGGGGCGGCTCCCTGGGTCCCCCTTTTTTCCCCCGTTTCCTCCGTTTCGGGGTTGGCTTTCCGGGGTTTTGGGGGGCCCCCTGTTGTTTGGTTGGGGTTTGCACCTAGGGACTAGGCCCCCGGCTCGAGTGGATCATGATGATGTGGAGGCCCCGCCTCCCTTCCCCGTTTGGGACGACCTTCCTAGGGGCGCCAACCGCGCTCCAGTTGATTTTGCATGACCTTGGATTTGCACCAGTGCAGTCGGACGGGGAAATCCTCGTGGCGTGCTGCCTGGAATGGGTCAAAAAGGACAAGGTCGCCAACCCGGATGCGGTGGTCTTTGACCCGCGGCCGTGGACACGGATCGTGGGGCTGGCACCTGACGGCAACCACGTCCTGGTGGCCTCGGACACCTACAACTTGATCCTCGCGAGGATACTCGGCTCCCAACCACAACCGCTGGAGGAGGCGGATTTGGAGCTCGCTACTAAGACCCTGCAACAACTTCTGTTTCGTGCGGCAGGCGCCAGGCAATCGCACACCTATTCTCCACTGGAAATGGAACAGGCCATCCGGGACCGCGAAGAGTGGATCCTTTCCGGATCGATTGAGGCCCCGGATGTCCTGGCAGTGGCCAACAAGTGGCGGCATTGGAAACCAGGGAAGATCAAAACCCAATTGCCGACATCTCAGAGAGCGTTGGAACAACA